TTCGTGACAATTCAATGTCCAATTAATAGAAATTGAGGAGGGAAAAAAAGTGATTTTCTCATATTTTCATTTGTTTAGTATATGCGTTTATGTATGAATATTTATCTGTGCTCAGATGTGAGTTTGTGTTCTCTTGTTGATTGTCAATTTTATCACGATTTGTTTTGTTTCGGTTACTATTGTATGAACTATCTATGTTAGTAAATGATGAATGAGCAACAATGTTCTATGTTGGTATGTTAATGTTATGAGAAAGAAATTCTTTCTCTGTTCTCTCTCTCTCTCTCTCTCTCTCTAAGCCGACAAATTTTACAGACATTATGTGTATTATTGGAAAAACAAAAAAGAAATCTGAAATATGACAGTGTTTTTTAGACAGATATGAATAAACTGAACTGCATTCGTTAATAAATAAATTCATCAGATAATTAATTAGTTCATTTAGTGTTTTGATGGTTATTGTAATTGTATTGCATTATTTTCATTGTTTTATTCTTTAAAAGAAAAGACCGATACAATGACTTGGTACAATTTCAAATAAACCACACTCTTAAGTTAAAGTATATTTTGGAGATGAACCAATCAGATTCGGAGAACGCGATTTTTCGGCTTTAATGTGAAATTCAGTTACTACATACATATGACAAGCAGTAGGGCTACCTTCGTGTATTGTTTAAAATAACTACGGATTGTCATTTTTTGCCATTATAAAGTATTCAATCCCATCTCTGTAGATTATGCGTGTCAAGTTGATCAATATTCTATCTAAATTCTAACCTCAAACTCTTAATCCTGAAACATTGATCTGATGACACTACGTTTTGTGAAAGAACTAACCAGGTAGCGCCTCCTTTGTCTATTACCATAGATATGGGGCATTTTTACAATTATGAGTGATATCAGTTTATGCTGTAAATCTTAAACATAACCACCCGATTCTAACTCTGAATACCTATCCCTGACTAGGAATAATGTGGAAACTTAAAAATCTGTGTTATAATGTCATGAATTGAAGTTGGAGATGTAAATAAATGGATGTTGATCCACTGATCTAATGCCAAAGTTCTTATTGCACGACCTCAGATTTCTAGAGCATAGATGCATGTTTCTGAAAAGTTCGATATTAAGACGAAATGAATTTCCAAAGTTATTTTAGTCCTTGGAGCTACTTTCAACTAAAATCAATTTGTAACGATTACCACCCACAAAAATTGATTTATCTCATTGTCAATCATTAAATTTATTTCAGATTAATGTTTTTTTGTGTCACGTAACCCATAAAATATTAGTCTCAGTTGTTATCTCAATTTTTAGATGACTTTTAAAATCCACTACCCAAAAAAATTATTTCGCACATTGATAACTGATAAGTTTTGCTACTTGAACGCTATATATTTCAGTTCCTAAGCTGTACTCGTAATCCCCAGGCTAGAACTACACAGTGACTTGAACAAGAGAGGAAAAGGCGCAAAATATGCGAAAAACACTTTACTCCATGATGTGGGAAATAAAATATTAGTCTCAATTTTTAGACGACTTTTAAAATCCACTACCCAAAAAAATTATTTCGCACATTGATGACTCATCTAAACTTGTCGTTATGATTGTTTTAACTTTTGTCTGCCTTTTTATGGACCGTTCATACTCACATTTAAAGTACAAACTAACCACATTTATACCGCCCACGTACATAAACCACTGATGAAATGGGTTGAATTAAGTGAAAACATATTTTTACAATAAAAAAAAACGAATATAGCCAAATTCTGCTCCATTCAGTTACTAGAGTGTATATGTATATATTCTATGGGTATGTGCATATATAAATAATGTATACATATACATTGGAATGATTTAACAAAAAAAGTCCACTGCTAACTCCTCACACAGCAATCATGACATATTTAAGGCTGAAAATATTTGGCTAATAAATATGTATGATATGGTCGATAAATTTGCATGATGCACTGAGCCAATCACCATAAGACAGAGGAGGAAACAGTTGATTGGATAATCAAACAATCAGGCGACGCAATCGAATTCAAATTAGTATTTAAAACCATTCAAATACATTAGGATGTATAGAGTTTGTCGTTTTCCTAAGCTGTTCATAATTCGTCTGAATAATTTAAGGCAGTATTACCTATCTTTGTCATAACAATTGTACGAATAATTAATTCATGTTATTATTGTAACCTCATCACTGTAGCCTTATTGTGTGATCCAACTCAGTATATATTAGAGAAGGCAACATTAACATGCACATGGCTTAAATCTCGCTAGGAAGAGGAATACATAATTCATTGACAAGTATTGATATTCTTTAATCATATCGTGCAGTGAATAAACGCTGTCCTACTTCAGTTTACTTGATAGACTAAATTGGTTTGTATCACTGACTAACCTATAAGCGATTATAGGGGTTTGATCTTGCCACCGGTCGATTGGCAAACAAATAATTGAATCGTTAGCCCACTACTCATGTCTGTAGCAAAGTGGTTAGTGGATAATTAATAGTCTGAGGTTTGGTGGTGGTGATCGTATTATGCATCCATTAAAACGTACGTGTAAAACCTGACCAGCATACACTAGTATAAAATACAAGTTACTACTTTATTTTGAACAGAGATGGATAGTGACTAGCTTTGGAATCCAGGGCGCAAGTTTCATCCTATCTGGAACTTGTCAGTTAGATGTAACTGCATCCCAGACTTGATGCCCACTTTGAGACTCAAACCCAGTACCATTCTCCTCAAACGCGAGCGCATTATCCATTTAGCTGCTGGATTTATTCATTTCTGCTCACAATCCTTGTAACTTAATGGCAATATTGAGGCAATCCTCACAGAATGTACATATTCCAAAAGAGTGGTCAATTATGGTGCTAAGTATCAATGCAAAGATTCAAATAACCAATCCAAATAAATTACTGCTTTATCTGTTCCAAGCTTTTAGTTGTTACAGTTTTCAAATCACAAACTGATTTTAGTTAGATCACCATTGAAAGCTAGGAAGCACTGATCAGCCGTTTAGTATGGAACTCCTTAGCTGTGTGCACCATCGGTCCGGCAACCATAGACCGTACTCAGAATCGGTTTCACTCACAAACCCTTAACCTTTAAACCGCTGAGCCAGGATCCAATAGAGCCAACATCTTACTCCAACCAGTTTTACGGTATTGAGCTACTGTCTTCCACTGCCTGTGGTTTGTAGCTGTCTCACACTGAATACGATTGAACTCCGCCACGATGGCTCTTATTAGAACTCCAGGACTTTTGTCTTGAGGTTAATCATTGAGAAGCACATGACTATCATCAGTTTGGGGGGATTATTTACTCTGAAGAAGTAGCTTGTATTAAGTTTCAAAACATAAATACAATATTCTGCTCATTGGGGTACCATAAAAATTATATTTATCATTAGAGAGGATAATTGAAAATGAAGAAAAAGTTACTCTACTTAATCATGCAACACGTTTCTTTCTTTGTTCGATTACTATACAAGTTGTAATTTATGATGTCCTGTTGCTGAAATGGTAACCAAACTCAACGATCATATTAACACTTTGGTTCCATTGAAAATGTGACTATTGAAGTTGTACCTAAATATTGTGTTGAACACTTGAACTATTATAATATAAACCCACTCGATAATTTTTATCTATACAAGTGTGTATCAGTGAGCGGCCTATGCTCCCTCACAAGGAGTAACAGGCGTAAGTAAGTAAGTAAGTGTGTATCTGAGTGTTCTCATCGATGCCACAGTAAGAATTTATACATTTCTCAAACAAATAAAAACTTATTATTCAAGTTGATTAATTGGAAACATTGAATTACATGAAAGTGAATTTGACTAATTTTTACAAATACCCCTCATAACACAATCACATACCCATACATGAATATAGACACAATCGAATGATTAATATGTTAATAATAATAATAATAATACTTAATAGGTCCTTGTTTGTTTTGATGGGATGTCAATTACACGAGTTGTACATCCTCACTTTTGAATAAATGCAAGGTGTTTGTAACTGTACGAGTATGTATATGTATGTATGCATGTATGTGTGTATATTAATGTTTGTGTTTTACGAGAGTATGTAAGTATACATTGTGATTGTTTGTTAGTCTAATAAATTAGACACTTGCATGACACAAATAAATATTTGGCTCGACATTTAAGTTAGAAATTTTATACATAACTAGTGATATTATTATTATGGTATCTAGTTAGTATAAAGCAACGAATAAAAAATCTAAAAATAAATGAACAAATGGTAAACAATGAAGATAGTTAGGGAGAATGAAGTTGGACATTTTTTCCCGACAGACAGATACATTCGAAATTACTTTAGATAAAAAATTAATGTTAGTTCGCCAGTACCTTTGTACAGTTAATTTACATGGAATGGGATTTACTGTTAAGATGTCTCTAAACTCTGAAAATGTGTTTAACTACACATTTTGTTAGGATATACTGGGGTGAGATGGGAAATCAATTAGTCAGATAATGAATCTTCATCAATTGAGATGACTGGGACATGTACTGTATTACATGTCCCTTAACGTGTAATATTGACTTGAAGTATAAATACGTTCGAAGAAAATTAGGAGTGATAAGATTAAGACACGGCATCAGTCTATGAAGTTATTCACTGTTCGTTTGAAACATGTTGGTGGACACAAACTACCTAGTTAGCGTGCAAGCCTGAACCATGATTAATGGTTGGAAACGTTGGATGACATCGCTTAGAATCACTCATAATGGAGTTTTTTCTTCATACATAGCATTTTATTCTATTTACTCGAAGGATTCTGAATATTACCACGATTATTTGACTTTCATTTGGTTCATTTCATCTCATCCTGTTGATATAGTATGACAATTTAAATCAGTATACATTAACGTAAGGTCCTACGTTGATTATGATTGAGTAATTGACAAATATTATTGAAATATTGCGTTAAAGTGAAAGTCACTAGTAAGCTGAGTATAAGCAACACTTTGTTATAAACTTAGGTTATGTATATAGATAGGTTACGTTAATATTGTAAGTTAATAGTGACCAAAAAGTTGAGTACCAGTCATAATATATTTTTATATAAGATCCATTTAACTTCTCAGTTATGAATAGCGATCAATGAATTTTAACTCAGTAATTTAAAGTTTACCTTACTGTTACAAGACTAGAAGTTCTTGGGCTCATACGAGAGAAGAATTATAAACTGGAATGAAGCTATCGAGTTTATGAACAGATTTTTATATGATACTAGTCCATAACAAAAAGTAGTTCATTGGTACAGCCAGAGACTTTATCACTAAAATTAGTGTATTCGGAGTACGAATACTGTCTCAGTTACTGATTCACTTTACCTAATAAAATTATTGCGGTTGGATGGGAAACCAGCTTGTTAGTTGATTTAAAACTTGTAATATCAAAGGTTTCCAACGGTTATGTAGCTTAACCAATAGATTACAATGTATTACTTCATCAGGAAGATTTGCTCATCATTTCCTGCTTCAATACCAGTCTGTTTCAGTGATTAATTTACAAAATTCTTTGCCAGTTTTTATTTACAGTCGTCTCAGAGATTTGTTTCAACTTTACATCTTTTCTCCAATTTTTTATTTCACTTAAATTAGATTTTGGAAATAATGATTCAAGGCGGAAAAGAACTGAGATAAAGAACTTTTCCATCCCTTTAAAACAATTCACATATTCGATTCTCATGTCAACAAGAGGGATTAAACTTGTCTTCCAGATAGTATTTATGCATGTATGTTTGTATATGTGTATCTGTATGGATTTCTACTTGTTCTTAAGTTTTGGATATACAATTATAAATGTTAAAAAAAGACGAGAAACAATATATCATCTATGATTAGTTTTGTATTCATTGTTCCATAAAAACGACATTTTCTATTTGCATGTCTCTCTCTCTCTCTCTGCGTGTGTATGAGCTAGCTAGCGAGCGCCTACTTTTAATAATCTTCATTTGTGGCCTTAGTTATGCCCTTTCAAAGCGTCTAGGGCGCAGCGCAAAACAAATTGTTCATTTGACTTTATACATTTGTAGATATATATTTTATTGAACCATTTTACTAGTCTAACGAAACAGGAAAGTATGGTAAATTAAATAAGGAGCAAAGAGAGATGGAGAGGGAGATGAAAATGTGAAAGGAGAATAAACGTCAAACGAATATATTCCAACCGAAATTTGACATACTGAGTCATGAAAAATCTAGTCGTTCTTTTTTTTTTTAATCTTTATTTTCATACAGTAACAATAACTTAGACAAAGTAGCGTGTGATAATATGTATGTATGCATTGGTGTGTGATAGTCTATGATTAACATGGGGGATAAATTTATTAAGAGAAGTTGACTCATTATAGATAGTTAATTAATTTTCTGCCTTGTTTAGACAACTAGTTTTCTATAATAAAAAAAGCACCAAAAAAAAACAACAAATTGAAATCCAAATTTACAGTCAAGTAATACAGCAGTGTAATTACACTTTGTAATGCACTAGATATGACAGAAACGAGAGAAAATGTTTCAGGAATTTAATTGGTTAATCCATTCATGATTTGGTTAACTGATTGACTGGCTGGATTAAATAATGGATTTTAACTTGTCCATTAAATAGGACAATATTGAACATAGACAATCCAGATGAGTCATCATATGGAATTGTTTTTTTTATTTTTTTTGTTTTGTTGGAAAAACAAACTGAGTAACATTTGTCAGAAGGGGTTTGTGGAGATTTTAGAAATTCCACAGATTGAAATCATGAGTCAATTGAAGCTAGACCACCATGGAAAACCTGGAAGCACTGGACAGCCGTTTCGTCCTAGTATGGGATTCCTCAGCAGTGCGCATCCACGATCGCGCACCCCGAGAGACTCGAACCCAGGACCTATCAGCTCACTGAAGACAATGGTATACGGTTGCGCAACTTCGTGGATTGGTTGAAATTAGACATTAACACCATTGGATGCCGGCTGGCTCAGTGGTCTAGTTGGTTAAGCGCTTGGCGCGAGGCTGATAGGTCCTGGCTTCGAATCTCGTGGGGTGTGGGATCGTGGATGCGTACTGCTGAGGTGTCCCATACTAGAACGGAACGGCCGTCCAATGCTTCCAGGTTTTCCATGTTGGTCTATCTTCGATTGACTCATGATTTCAATCTGTGAATAACATTTAGTTGGAAAGTTTAACAGGACTTGTGTATTTCATTTATATTCACTGAATTATGGTGTTATAACCATAGAGATATTTATTCAGGTAATTGGATTTCATAACTCATATCTCATGAAATGGTCTTTGACAATTGTTGAAAAATCAAAGATACACTGATGATATAAACTATAAATTAAATATAATAAGAATATAGAATACTTTTGAAGACAAGAATACTAGATTTTGTTCATTGTTCCAATAATCTAACATTGTTTAATTAGACTCAAATGTTAGTACATAAAGAAGAAATGTGACAGCTTATATATTTTCAATCAGAGTTGCAAGTGTCAAATATATTTAAATTACGTTGGTTTAGACCTAACGGTTAATCTCATAAACTTTTACGAAAGCTTGTATAACTCTAAGCTAAGTATGTGAATTGGTACTTGGCTACTAAATTATAATATTGTACATAAAGTCATTTGCTTTCATGTATTTCTGTAAATCAGATAATAGAAATTAACCCGATCTAAAAAATGATCAAATGAATTAATGAAAAGTTAAAAACCGATATTGAAATGTTATAAATATTTAGAACTGATCATTACTACTGTACTGCTTGACAATGATTAGTTATTACATACAAGCTGTTTTTCTCCATATAGTGAAACATTAGTATTTACTGAATAATGCAAGATCTTGATTGGTTCACTTTTTTATAATCTGCACATTCACAATTAAAATGTAATAAGACTTGATCGGGATTAAGAGTATAATAATATGAATTTGATTATTATCCAATGAGTGATATTGCACTTAAATAGAATCATTATAGCAGTAGAGGATTTCGAAGCCGTTACTAGACTAACTGTAATTTAGTAATATATATGTAAACACATATACAACTATGACATTTTGATATACTGAAAAATGGTTTTATTTAGTTGTTAAACCGTTACTTCACCTTTAAAGAAAAAAAAACTGAAAATCTGTGTGCATAAATTCCAACTGACAGTAAAAAATGGATAGAAAGAGATAGCGAGAGAGAAAGAAAGAGAGGGAGAAACAGTGAGATGGGAGAAGGAATCTTATGTTGTAGTGATATGGTTTAAGAAAAGCATATAGTAGCATGACGTGTATTCAAAATCTCACTAACTAACAAGAAATCAAATAGAAAGTGATACTTAATGTAAAAAATCCCCTCCTCTATCTATCTCCCACCTTCAAGATTATTTATGAGTATTTTGTACTTTTTAATCGGTACTGTTGTCATTAATAAAAACATCAACACCATGTAGGATGTTGACAGCATTATTGAAGCTTGCCAACTGTTGCTTCTGTTGTCTATTCATGTATGTTTGTATGCATAAATTGACAGGACAGGAGTGAATATATATATATATATATATATATATATATATATATATAGAGAGAGAGAGAGAGAGAGAGAGAGAGAGAGAGCGAGAGCGAGAGAGGGAGAGAGATTATTTGGATTGTCGTCAGTACTTGACAATATCAGTGTTTGTAGGTTGGTGAATAAAGTAATATCATCATGTAGCTAGGGAAGCGCTACACACATACTCTCATATAAATACACTCAAGGCTAATAAACGAGTTATTAACAAGGTCAAAATGTGACTCAAAATGAATGAATAAATTGGTCTGTCCAGTAGTTAGGATAATCTATGTGGGCTTGACATGGTACTAACGTCTACGATACTACCTACTTTCTGACTAAAGGAATAAACATTTTTAATGACAACAATTTATTATTCTTTCATCAAATAACAATTAGTACTGGGCACATTGAATGACTTAAAAGCAATGCTTGTTGAATGTTCCGTTTTTTTTCTAAGAAGAAGAGAGACTATAATTGATGTGTTACTTTTGATCAATATCGAACTAACCTTGAAGAACTCAAACCAATTTATGAGGCTCAAAGTAAAGTTATGAATTAGTGCGAGAAATTAAATTGACGATTAAGGGTTATACGTTAGTGTTACAAGTTACAGTTATGGTTTATATCAAGAATTTACATAATCTTTAATCACAATTGATTGATCACTGGGTGGCGATCAATGTCATGCGTGTCTAGTCCTTATTAGTGCAGATCGAATGCTATCAATCATGTTGCAATGTGGCCACCAGTCTAGGTGGTTCGACACTGCACTAATAATGACTAGACACGTATGACATTGATCACCACCCATTGATCAATCAATTGTGATTACATCTCAGTCCTACAGGAGGTCAGTCGCGGCTCGGATAGCTCAGTGGTAACGTCTCTGACTGTGAAGCTGGGTGACACGAGATCGAATCCGTCAGTTCCCTCAAGATTACAGGTACACCTTGCTGACGTGTGCCAAGTAGCACGAAACCCGGTTCCAGGGTTTCCTGTCGACTAACTCCAACCACAATCTAATCAGCTTTAATGCCAGAATGTTATTTAACCATTTGAATGAATGATTTTCACATAAAAATCCAAGAGGCGCTATTTTAAAACTGATTGGATTCGTTCATAAATTATAGTCCTGTCACTTCAAATCTACTTGTTTTCCTCTGTATCAGAAATAATCATTTGTTTATTCGTTTTATTTATTTATTGATATTTCCTAATCAGAAAAATAAAAAATAATTAGTATGATAATAACTGTAATATCAAATTATCCAACATCTGTCTTCCCCTCCTACCTAGAAGAGTTTGTTTAGTTTCTTTGCCATTAAATCTCATATTTAGTTTCCTTGATAAATTTCTGTGAAAAATAATATCTTCACTCATTCACTCACTCAAATGTTGTTTTAAGTTAGTAGTGAATAATTAATGCTAATAAAAATTGTTTTGAAAGGGTAAACATGAAAGTAAAGATAATCAATGAGGATAATGTTTATTTATTGATTTATTTCTATCTTCTCTAAACCCCTTTTCTTCTTTGTTCTTGATTTATTTTAAAAATGACAGATTGATTACCCTTGCTATTGTCACCGTTACGGTCACCGTCAGTGTTGCCATATTCTTCTTCCAGTATTGACAGTCTCCTAGTGGATAAACACTTCTTACGTTTATTCGTCATTCATTTTGTTTACTGGTTGGAAATTATTTATTAAAACAAGGTAAGTAAGATATTTCCATAAAAATACAAAAATAAATTGTTTGACATTGAAATTGTACTATTGGACACCGATCTAATGGTTTTAACCGTTAATTGTTCACCATGAAACTAGAGATCCTGCATTCCATCCCTAGTGAGTCATGAGTGCATACTACTGAAGAGTACGTACCAGGACGAGAAAGTTTTCCAGTATTCCATGATTTTTACGATTTTCTGACTAAAGTTAGTCTACGATATGAAATAAGAAAATTCAACGATCTTCACGAGACTATTAATTGACAATAAGTGAATATATTTTCTGATGATAATCAAATTAAAGTGTTATTGTCCTTTATAATAATTCATTAGTTTGCTAAATAGTAATACGGAATGAGAACATCATTATCTATTCGGAGGTGTTTTATAATTACGTCGAAAATTTTCTGAATGTCTCGAAAGTACCTAAAATAACTGTTAACCAATCAATATTTTGAAAAATCTCTAAGCAAAATTTATAAATCTATTCATGACACCTTAATTTTTTTCTATACAACTGGTTAATTGTCAAATTTTGGGCCAGTTTTAATATAAGTTCCTATAATCCCAAATTTACCTATGAACCTACAAACGCTTTTTTTTATTATTTTTTATACTTGAACTAATTAATTATTTTATTTGAAGTTTAATGGCCGAAAATTATTTAGTCACCTATTAAATCTATTGCAATGATATTGTTATTTTCCATTTCATTGCACTAATCCTCATTTGGGAGATTGGACCACCGTATACATCTGTACTAGGCTCCACGATGATTATATCTGTCTGTCTGTCTATCTATCTATCTATCTACCTATCTATCTAGAATTGACCAATGGGATGCAAATTCACTCAGCTAAACAATTCCAAATAGAATTTTTAATTTTCTCTTTTTGTTTTTCTTTTTTTTTTTTAAAAAAAGGGAGAATCATGGTTTTCATAACTCAATTTGCATATATTTTCCCAATACTTATACAAATAAACCATTAATCTGTTGTTTTGTTTTTTAAAGAGTAGTTTATTGGAAAAACAACATAAACACTTTGAGATGAGTCAAATTCTGTTAGTGTCTATCATGGTGGCCTGAAATAGTTTTCTTTTGTATATTACAGTTGTTATTGTTTATAATCTTGATTACAGTACTTTGTTTATATGTGAAAATCACCTGAATTATTCAAAATGAATTGATCTGATTACTAATGCGTATATAAAGGGTTTTTTTCTCTCTTTCCTTATTTCTTCATTCTAACACTAGTTTTATCGAAATAACAATGTAAATATTTATGTATGATTTTGTTAATATGGATGTTTGACTATTGTATATCTGGTTAACGTGTGTGTATATGCACATAACGTGCTAAATTTAAGTCTATCAAAAGAACAGAGGATTCTTCAGTTATAGTTCTTATCCCATGGCAAAGATACTGAGTCATATCGTAAAAACGATAGAACAAGAGATTTGTTTATTTTTAACAGTCGTAGTATGCTTCATTCTCTTGTCCTAGATACATGCAGAACTCATTTAACCATCAAGTGTATCAGTTAAATTACGGACATTTTAGTAGGAATTATTAGCAAAACTTCAAATGATATTTCATACCGGGTAGCATTCATAAACTATATTTGAAATCTTGAAGAAATCGCTAATCGATGAGGGATTCAAATCTGACTAACCTAGAGTTACAATCAAATAGATTACAACTAAGCCACTGAGACTACAACTGATCTCCTACATGGCTGATATACTTACACCAATCAGTTATCGATAGGTTGTTAATGTCACGTTATCTAGTCCTGAATCCCGATTAGGTATGCATTGTAGCCACTAGTCATACATAAGTCGATATCACAGTACACTTTCTTTCTGAAATCTCAATATGAAAATATTCATTTCTATGCTTAAACACAATTAGGAAGTAAAAAAGTGAATAATCAAAATACTGTCATATTTTAAAACAGTTACACGTTTATTTCTTCGAATTCTTTGTCTTCATGTAGAAATCTTTGACTCAAATATGATTAATATGGAAGCATCGAGCAGCCGTTTTATCCTAGCATGTGATTCTGCATCAGTGCGCATCTACTATCCTACACATAAGAGAGAGGAAATCCCCGGATTTCTAGTGAACGATCCCGTGTTGGGTGCGAGTCAGTTATCCACCGAACATAATGGAAGATGGTCGCGCAATATCATGGATTGATTGAGGTTATAAATTAATACCGTTGGATCGTCATGCCAGTGGTCTAGAGGTTAGTCGTTCGGCTCCCGAGTGTGTGTTCGTGGGTGTGCACTGATGGGGTCCCACACAAGGACGAAACAGCGTTTAGTGCTTTCAGGATTTCGATGACTGTCTAACTTAGGTCGGTTCATGATTTAATTTAGAAATATTCTACAGTACCCACAACCTCATATTGGAAAACAATGTTTTGTTGAAGGTATATGGTGATGTGTTGTGATTGAGTTCAAAACTTCTATTAACCTTAAATGATCAGAATGCCTGTAAGTCTCTATCTTTCTGTGTGTATTACATCATGTTAAGAGAGAGCGTAAAGTTCATAGTTTTAAGGTATCATGTATCACATTGTACAGTCACTCATTAATCAATCTCAACTCTATTACTCTATCAGACAAATTTTTAACTTTTCTTAAAGAAATCCTTCAAGATAGAAGAGTTAATTTTGATTGAAGATCTAAAAATCTGTAGACACTTGATCTCATTCACCTGTACGTCTATATATATGCATATATTTAGTTGTTAAATTGTGTGATACTTCAAGTCGGTTCATTATAATATCACCAATAAATCTATGAACAGTTATTTCAAACCAATTTGTTTGAATAACGTTTGAATTCGATAGAAAGTCCTAATCTTGGATTAAATTTTAATTAATAGTATCCATATTATTCAGGTAACATTTGTTGTCCATTGAATCAGAAAAAAGTTAACTATAGTTAAGCTAGATTATATATATTTAGCTGATACTTTGGATGACTTTTGTACACTTTGAGAGTGATTTTTATCACGAACATATATCAATTAGAGAACCAACGAATTTAAAGAGCTTTGGGAATTTGTTTTCCTTGCCAACCATCGAAACTCTCATAAATGGAAGCGAAGTATGCATTTGTGTGGAAAATCGATCACATCTAAACCGCCATAAAACATACATCCAACAATATTGAGTATTCGATCATTCCCTAATTTCATAGTTTTATTGCACGAACTGACTTTGGTTAAACAACCATTAAAAAACTAGAAGGCACTCGAGATCCTTTTCGTTTTATTATGCGATTCTTTAGAAGCACTTGTCAGAGATTTCAGCAGGGTTAATGCTTTAGCCTAATATCACTGAGTCGATACCCAACAGTTTATATGCTTAACTTCAATCAATCCTCAATATTATGTAAACCTCATCCCCTACCATTGTGGGCATCGATATCGTTCAAAACTTCACAGTTTTAAATGATTTCCTAACTAAAATTCTTTTATGATGTAAAACTATAAAAAAATTCAATAATCTTCACTATACCCTTAGACGAAACAAAAATTCTCCAGTTAACATCAGAAAAGGAAATACCTGAGTTATCTATCGTATTTAACTTAAACAAACAACAAATTAATTGTGGTAAATATTAAGAAGGAAAACAATTTGCTTAATAATCATGTATTAGAATACCTAAAAGGAACTCCATATTATATATAATATATATATAATAAAGGCAGAGATAAAGTCAATTTCCCTTAAACACACAAATAATCTACATTCTATATAGAGGTCAAAGTTGATTTATGACAGTTGGATTTAATATAACTAACTGGTGCATGTTTAATCAACAACATTTACCAAATTCTTACAAATAATGCCCGCATATTTGCATAGAATTTACATACCCTATGCACATTCTATATGTATGAATACACAGACGTACATCTATATGAAATGCATTCTTTGGTATTTACATATAATAATTACATAATAAGTTGATAGTAACCGAATAAATCTATATTTATTCTATTTATTTTCAAAGAAAAATACACCATATGATAAAACTATGCAAATCTTGTAATTTCAATGTAACCTAGTCACTTTCTTCTTTCTAAAAAAAATCCATATATATATATATATAATGTTTACAATGATTTATTACCTGCCTTAAACCGAAGGTCATACCAATTTACAAATATCAACAATTTTCATTTCTACCGCTGCTTCTATAACTGATATTCCCTATTGTTATGAGAGTTATATGAGGAGGTTAAATATAATAGTGGTTGGTTTGATTTGGTTATTTAGTAGCAAAACTTTCAAGAATCCAATGAGACTAAGAATTACAACCATATTATTATCAATATTTATTATTATTATTATTATTATTATTACTAATAATATTATACTTATGAAGTCCCTTGTTGCTGATGTTGACTTGTGATTGTATGATAAATAAGGTATGTAATTAATTACTGCATGTGGCCTTTCTCCTTTTCTCTCTATGTGTATGTGTAAGTTTGTACGGCCATTTATGCACATATATATCAGTTACATGAATTGGTATTTCTTTTGAATGTACATTTAAACAAACAAAATGTTATGTTGCCATTTTCCCTTGGTCCCGCCATCTGATGTCAGTTCATAACTGATATTAACTTTTGATTCATAGAAAGCAAATATTTACGAATAATAGAAAACAGGAAAAATACAGAAAAAATAAATAAAATGTAAAGTTAAATCAACCAATCCATAACTATTTTCATGGTTAGACAAATATTAAGAGTCAGGAACCACTAGATAGTTGTTTCATACTATTATGGGACAAATCAGCAATGCGCATTCATTAGATTTCAACTATTTAAGATATGAGGTAGTTACTCACCGAACACAATGGATAATGATTGTAAAATACCACAAGTTGATTAAAGTTAGTCATGTATGCCATTGGATGAGTGATCAGTGATCTCAAGTTTAAGCGCTTGCCATGAAACCTGA